CAAGGCAACCCCATTTCTGACAACGCATACCGTATGAACGCCGATGTACCATGGTCACTCTAATAAAAGAAAAACTTTCCTAGTTTTAGTCAAAGCCAAAAATCTTGCCGACTCTATAGCATCAAGAAAAAATTTTATCACGCGCGCCTCAAAACTGCGCGCCCACACACACTTTGCTCCTCGTCAACCATTCAGTCAACGCGAACCAACACGACCGCAACTTCGCATGGTATACTCAGATTCTGAACAAACCTTATCTTCTGTCACTTGCAAAAACCAGGGCGGATACCCTTGTAAGGGTATTCGCGCCGACAGCGGTGCAGAAACAGCCTCAGTCGGGTGCTCTCGAGGCGAAGGGTCCCATCGACATCGACGCCTCGTACTTCCTCGAATGGAAAGACGGCGTGCGGACAAAGCGGGAGTTCTTCATTAGCCCATCGCGGGTCGTCAAGATCGGTGACTGGGAAGCGTCGTACAACCAATGGTCGCTGGATCCCGTGCACACGTAGCTCATCATTGACGCGATGATGATGACCTTCTCTCAAGCTGAGAAGACGTACGAGTTACCTACCCTTAAGCTGGCGTCATTAGGGCAGGAGAAACTGAAGCCGGGCTTGGGGGCGGATCGTCTAAAGCCAGAGGACTGGAAGGAAGAGCTCGCAGGCCAATACTATTATTACACTATTTCCGGCCAGCACAACGCGACTGCAGCCAAGGCGCTGCTCGGCACGGACGTCCCATTGAGGTACAACTTCGAGAGGTGGCCTGCATGTCTGGTTCACTTCTCGGACGAGGAGTTGGAAGGGTATTTTCTGGTCAGCTCGGAGGGCAACAAGGACTTGAAGGTGCCTCCTAGACAGTTGAAACTATCAATGATGGACATTCGGTGGTTGTGGAAGGAAAAAGGTTTCCCAAAGGCTGTTATGGGGAACCCCAGCGGAAAACAAGCTCAGGTGCAGAAATGGCGTGAGTTATGTGAGCAGGCGCTTCACAAAAGGCCTTACTACCACTTGTGGATTCTCGCTGATGAAAAGGGCGAGGACAACGTTAAGAAGCAGAACGCTGCCCTTCGCTCTTATTTTCCGTTGGTGATCGCTGGAAAAAAACGCGTGGGAGCTGGGTATGGAATTTTTCGAGAAATGGGAGACGGGGAGACTTCTGGCACCCGAGGGGGCGAAATGGATCACAAAGAAAAGGAAAGTGAAGGACGTCAAGCCCGGCGTTAGCCACATCGAAAGCGAGAAGTTGGGGCGAAAGGGGTCGTCTACAACGTCCCCGTCGAGGCGCCCCAAAAGAAAGAAAAGAAGGAGAAAGAGTATGGCGATTGGTTTGTCCAGGTCACCGAACCGGATCCGCACTGCTGGAAGAGCATGGAAACCCTTACCTACAACGAGAAATGTCGGTTGCTCAAGAAAGTCCTCAACTGCGAGGTTGTGTGGGTGCAAACAGGCTCTGCTTCATTGGCGAAGCAAGGCAAGTTGGGAGTCCGGGAAGCAGTGCACCTGCTGAAGTGCGATCGCATCTTGGTGCGATTGTGGAACTACTATCAGTTTGTGTACGAGAACCGTCCAGATACTGACTGGACACGTGCGTATCCCTTCCTGAAGAAGCGGGAGACGATTTTGGTGGAGTTCGAGAAGCAGGGAATGGATGCCCCGTTGTGGGACGGGAGCAGGAAGCTCGTCGGTGACGCCTCACTGTTCAAGGATTGCCCGCCGTACATGGGGTGCAAGGACTACAAAATGATCAAGGCGACGGAAAAACTCACCCAAAACAAGAAGTTGTCCGTCGGCTGGAAGGACAAGGTCCTCTCCGTGCTGACCGGCTGTAGGGCGAAGAGCATGGAGGTCGCGCTTGCCGAAGGCGTGGTGCACGTTCTGTGGAAAAACTCGGGGGACGTGACATCGATCGCACCGTTCAGCGTTGACCCTCTGGAGGCGCAGATGAGGGTCACGGAGTTGGAGAAAGCGGTTGGGACCACCAAATGCCACACGTGCGTTCACGATCTGTTCGAGCCGGTGGACTTCAAACACTGGACGCCGAAAGCTTTCGAGAGTTTAAATTCTCTCCTAGAGCAATTGTTTCCGTCACACTTGACGGTCGTCGCTTTCGTCCCTCGGCAGTGGGACTACTCCTTCATGACCAGCCTGCGCCATCTGCCCGTTGTGAAGGCAATGGCAGGGACGTGGGTGACGAGGACGCCGCAGAATAAAAGTTTTCCAGTGGGGAACAACTTGTTTTCGGCTGACGACCGGATGTACATTCTCTTCAAATGTGACGATTTGCGGGAGAATACTTGTGTCATCTACGATGCTAGGTTGTCGGCAAGTGACGCTGCAGCTATCGGGGTACATCAGAAAGTGCCCTCGACAGACATATCGGAGACTCCCTTTGACCCTTGCGAGTGGCCGTCGGCCATGCCTGGAGTTGACAGGAAGGTCTACAAGGACATGGAGCGGAACCCCACACAATTGGCCCATCTGCTGGAATTTGTGTGCAAAAAGGGGGAGGACGTCATGTTCCTCGGCAAGCCGCACGCGCGAGTCGTGTGGGAGGTTTTGAAGAGCGGCCGACACGTGGTCGCGCTGGAAGGGAATTCTGAGTTGTTGCAATACACGTTGGAGTTCGTCAAAAGCGAGGTCAACTCTGGAGCCAGCCGCTGCGAGTTCGTTTCGAGGAGCGAGAAATCAACACGCGTTCGGGAACCGTCTACGGACATGTGGTTCAAGTTGAGCGAGCAGAAGACGAACAGGATCTACGAGTTCCTCTTTTTGGAAGTGCGGCCCAGGAGGGACAATGACGCTGAGTACATGCGCCGCAAGAACGCAAAGAACTTCCTCGACCGGCTGGAGCGTTTGAACTTCGTCGAGTCCGAGCGGGTGTTGAAGCTCGAGAGTTATGGTGCCTTGATCTCCACGGAGGACGAGGCGGAGACAGGCGTTGTTTTCGACACCGCTATGCCCGAGGAGGACAACGACAGCGAGGACATCGACATCGATTACCATCCTGCTCCGGTGTTTCATGCCATGGGCTCCTCGTCGGCCGGTCCCTCAACAAGCCAGGCCACCCAGACGTCGCCTGTGCTCACGTTCACCCCGGGTAAGACCCCGAGTAAACTGGCGGCGAGACTGATGCCTCGGCCTGCCGCCCCGCCTCCATTGCGTTTCGGGAGTTCAGTTCAGCTGCATCATCCTTCTCGCAAGGATGATACCGTTCACTTCGAAGGGCTCGACCACACTCGATCGAGCGAGGCGGACTGGGGCCATGACATGACATGGCACCCGGGAACTATCCACCAAGCAATCCAAAAGGGCGAGTGGATCATGGCGCTCATCAATGACCAAGGGTTGTCGGAGCCATACCCGGGCCAGTCCAAGGCCGAGTACCTGGAACTCGCGAGGGGGGGGGGAGGCG